CTGCTGGTGTGCATTGAGCAGATGTTTTCTTTGAAGTGAGCTGTAATGAGGATTTACTCTATGACAAGGTATTAGTTTGACCTAGGTTTTATCCTTAAATTAGAAACTAAGATTTTTTTAAAATTTGTTTAACTGGTTGGATTTAATGTAGTCTTCTTATAAATAATAGATCAGCCTGCTTCCCTCACTGCTCATCTTCCACACAAGACAAACTCCCCTGTGTTTATTCATTCCTTTGCTCTGCCTGGGATCCCCCTCAGCCCAAAACTGGCTCTCTCACTAGCCAGCTCTGTATTTATACTTTATGAGCACACATTTGGGATTTAATCCTTCCCACCCTTTATTGATAATCCATCATCTTAGCTTTCCCTATGACTCTTGCACTTCAAACATTTGCTATGACTCATAGACTTCAAAAGAGTAGTGCAAAGAGATTCATTTTCCTAACTGCTTTTACAGCATTAACAACGCTAACACTTACTTTCTTTCCCAAAAAAAAAAGCATTTCCACCAAAGCAAGAATGACATTCGCAACACTGACACTCTATCTACCCATCTCCTACTCAAATATAAAAAATTAGGGCTGTTAACTCACGCGATTAACTAAAAAAAATTAATCGCAATTAAAAACAATTAATAGTGATTAATCGCACTGTTAAACAATAAAATACCAATTGAAATTTATTAAGTATTTTGGGATGTTTTCTACATTTTCAAATACATTGCCTTCAATTACAACACAGAATACAAAGTGTACAATGCTCACTTTATATTGTTTTTTATTACAAATATTTGCACTGTAAAAATGATAAACAAAAGAAATAGTATTTTTCATTACACCTCATACAAGTACTGTAGTGCAAACTCTTTATTGTGAAAGTACAACTTACAAATGTGGGGGTTTTGTTACATAACTGCACTCAAAAATAAAACAATGTAAAACTTTAGAGCCTACAAGTCCACTCAGTCCTATTTCCTGTTCAGCCAGTCGTTCAGACAAATAAGTTTGTTTACATTTGCAGGCAATAATGCTGCCCACTTCTTGTTTATAATATCATCTGAAAGTGAGAGCAGGCGTTCGCATAGCACTTTTATAGCCGGCTTTGCAAGATATTTACGTGCCAGATACACTAAAGATTCATATGCCTCTTCATGCTTCGGCCATCATTTCAAATGAGATGCTTCTATGCTGATGATGCTCGTTTAAAAAAATTCATTAATTAAATTTGTGACTGAACTCCCTGGGGGAGAATTGTATGTCTCTTGCTCTGTTTTACCTGCATTCTGCCATATATTTCATGTTATAACAGTCTCGGATGATGACCCAGCACATGTTGTTCGTTTTAAGAACACTTTCACTGCAGATTTGACAAAAACCAAAGAAGGTACCAATGTGAAATTTCTAAAGATAGCTTCAGCATTCGACCCAAGATTTAAGAATCAGAAGTGCCTTCCAAAATCTGAGAGGGATGAGGAGTGGAGCATGCTTTCAGAAGTCTTAAAAGAGCAACACTTTGATGCGGAAACTACAGAACCCAAACCACCAAAAAAGAAAATCAACCTTCTGCTGCTGGCATCTGACTCAGATGATGAAAATGAACATTCGTCAATCCGCACTGCTTTGGATGGTTATCGAGCAAAACCTGTCATCAGCATGGACGCATGTCCTCTGGAATGGTGGTTGAAGTATCAAGGGACATATGAATCTGGCATATAAATATCTTGTGATGTCGGCTACAACAGTGCCATCCGAGCGCCTGTTCTCACTTTCAGGTGACATTGTAAACAAGAAGCAGGCAGCATTATCTCCTGCAAATGTAAACAAACTTTATTTGTCTGAGCGATTGGCTGAACAAGAAGTAGGACTGAGTGGACTTGTAGGCTCTAATGTTTTACATTGTTTTATTTTTGAATGCAGTTATTTTTTTTACATAATTCTACATTTGTAAATTCAACTTTCACTTAACGTCCTCCCGCTTAACGTTGTTTCGAAGTTACGTCGCTGCTCCATTAGGGAACATACTCGTTTAAAGTTGTGCAATGCTCCCTTATAACGTCGTTTGGCTGACTTTACAAGGGAGCATTGCACAAGTTCCTCTTCTCCGCCTCCTCCCTCCCTCCCTCCCAGCACTTCCCCCGCCACCAAACAGCTGTTTGGTGGCGCTTAGGACTTTCTGGGAGGGAGCGAGTGGGGAAGCTGTCCCCCAACCCCGGCAGGCAGGGCCACCAAGAACGCAGCCTAACCTACCCAACCTAACCCACCCCCCTGCAATAAAGCAGAGGTTTTAACCCCAAAAGGGAAGAAAGCCAAAAAGCCACTATGGACTTCACTATTGATTTTACGTGGGAGATGCTCAGATACTACAGTGGTGGGTGACAATATAAAACGCTAAGGTAAGATAAGATTCTCCTTCAACTGCTGTCTAGTAGTAAATAGTTGTGTTACCCAGAGTGTATGGCTCAGATCCTCTCGTATTGGCTGGTCCACTTAGAGGTTAATAATTGCTCATTTAGTTCAAGTGGTAGAGGTCTGTATTTGAAGGTCAAGGGTTCATATTCTACTGATGACCCTTTGGTACTGCTAATGTTGGGAGCTTGTTACATTTTCACATGATGGAATTTTCCCTCTGGTTTTCTGTTTTTAAAAATTGGTTTTCTTAATTCACAAAGGGAGAAATCATCCTTAAACAGGTGTTAGAATTAGAAACCAGGATAATTTGTCAGTTTTTGTCATGACAAGAAATATGTTCCATATTTCAGTCTTTTTCACATATTTTCATTGTGTATACCTTGGACAGTTTGAAGGTTGAAAACTATGAATGGCTTTATAAGTATGGTTTCAATACAGGGTCAGAATCCTGAAAACCATTACCATTACCATCAAAATCCTAGGTATCCGGTATCTCCTCACCATATCACTTCATTCATATATTAAGCATTCATACACCTGAACTATAAATGAAATAGGTGGACATCACAGAGAGTAGGGAAAAACAGTAAAAGCCTTTTTTCCTTTTAACTTTTACCAATAATGGAAATCTGTTTCACCACAATTACTTCTTCTCCTGAATATAAAGAAATACTATAGGATCTCGGATTCCACAGGTTGGTAATTGGTAAGTTTAGTCATTTCAATGACTACTATTATTCATACTTAAGAGTAAGGACAATATACATTTTGTAGGGCTTGGTGGTTTTTTAGCTATTAAATCTTCCTTAGCCCTTTACCTAGCCCTGTTCTATTTCAAATCCCTTCCCCTTCAACATCTGTTCTGTCAAATCCTGGCCTCTTTTCAGTTTCATATTTTAATTTAAAAAGCTTAATCAGGATCTCTTTAATGATCCTACAGAAAAATGTTAAACAAAAACTGACACAGCCCAGGGCAGCGATGCAAGTAATTGATAACGGAAGGGTCAGGAATACATGTGCTTAAAAGCGCAGCCTGGTCAATGTCACTTTCTGTAGCAGCACCCCTGATTGTTGGGCCACATTCAATTTCTAATTTTACTTCAAAAAATAAACCTGAGAGTATTAGATGGTGCTTCTGTGACCTCCAAGTCAGTCTGTGCTGCCCTTCACAAAATATATTTGTATTCTAATTGTATCCTCTCCGGTCTTTCATCTATATTCAGCTACTTTGCACAGGGATCCTTTTCCTTGTCTGACACATAACTGGTTGTAAAAAGTGGCACACAACTAATAGTACTATACACATTACGGTTAATAGCAATCAATCAGAAAACAAGACTTAAAAATGAAATATACAACAAAAAAGGAATCATAAGACACTCCAAATTGTGTTTTATGAGGCTGTTAATACACACTTCAAATGGCTGACGGCACAAGGCCAGAGGATTGTTGCATCAAATGTGCTGGAGTTATGTACTTATTATTGTAGCCTTCAATATTTTAAAAATGCTCAGTAATCTCAAAAACTGACCAGCTGCAATCACTTGCCAGCTACAGTGTCTGAGAGAGCACGCATTGCCCTGCTAAAATCCATTAGATAGCCGCCTCATTTTTCCCAAGATGGCAGATATTTATAGACCTGCTGTGCTAATGAAGGGCTTTAAGATCTGGTTTTTAAGATGATGAAATTGTCTAAAATAGAGGCTGCAACCTCGCCTGTACTGTTTACACAGACATGTCTAATAAACATGGATTCCATGGTCCCTCCTCAAGACCCCATTGCCACTATCTGTACCAGTCTGCGAAGGTCTGGCACAAGCACCCTCTCCACAACATACACTTGGTATAAAAACTCCTCTGTGGCCTTGTCTGCATTGAGAAAATACATCATTAGACATTAACACGTTTTAACTATCATGTGAAACATGATTTTCTTCTTAGTGTAGATAACAACAGCCATGTTGATAAAAGCACATTAGTGAGTCATGGTTAACCTTAGGAATGGACCCTAGGATTAATCATGACCAGCTAACACATTTTTAAACATGACTTGTCCCTGCCTACACAAAGAACAAAAGCATATTTAACATCATGTTAGTTAAAATATTTTCTAACATGATATATCTTTCTGGACAGGGCCTGTGGGTCAATTCTAACAGCCTCCTCAGTGCAACTCCACCCTGGAGGTTAAATGGTGCAGAGGACCTTGTGTATGTCCTCCAGGCCAGAGTGAATTTCATTCTTAGAAATGAAGCTTATCTGAAATACTTCTAATGTTAATTTGGTATTTGGAAGTATAGGTGAACATTAATTACAGTAGTACATGTGACAGTAAAAGAAAATAGTTTCCTTTATTGGCTCCTTTTCCAGTTTGTCTGATGATCATTGACTAAACTACTTAGGATCACATGGCAGAAGCATAATGATTGAATTCCATTTGAGTTGGGTTAGTTTTAACCGAAAAAAAAAAAAAAAAGTTTAGCCTCGATGTAAATTCTCTATAACTGTAAAACATGTGAGTTCATTTTATGCTATCCTTTACAGTGGATAGGAAGCACAACAGTAATAATTTCACTTGTCTGTTTTATAGATTTGCCGCAAGCTAAATGGAATCCGTTTCACTTGTTGCAAAAGTGCCAAAGACAGGACATCCATGTCAGTGACACTAGAACAGTGCTCAATCTTGAGAGATGAACATCAACTGCATAAGGACTTCTTTATCCGGGCACTGGATTGTATGAGAAGGTATATATCTGGTTTTAGTTTTTGGTTGGTTTGTTTTTCTGCTACTTGTGTTGCAAACACATGCCTGTACTATATCGCCTTAGTACTAGCCAGTAGTGAATGTGTTACAGGCCAAAATTTGCTTTATTGAGAAATAAGGACTGCAGGATTTGGATCTAGTTAATTAGCAGTTCATTTTTAATGCTTTTTCATAGGCTTTCATAAGACACACAATTTTAGCAACATGCCTGTACCATATAAAAAAGAAATTTTTATTTCCTCTCTTAACAACTTTCAAGCTGTTAAATTCTTATTAAAACATTTAAATAAAATGGAGCTAGAGAAATATTACTAAATCAGAATTAAACATTTGTTATAGTTGGTAGTTCTCATTAGCTCATGTTATCCAAGATAAAAAGGATGACCAAGCAAGTTTGGACTGGTGTTGGTTATATTTAATTAAATCATCATTATTATTTTTTTAAAAACGTTACATTGCATTGTTAAGTATAGCTATGCAACCATTAAGACAGAAGTAATTAAGAATATGTAATTAGGAGATGTGATAGGGTTTTGAATATCTACATGTTAATCATAGGAAAGAATTTCAAGTAGATAAGTTTAGATGATAAAATGAATATGACCCTACATTGTGTTATCTGTTAGTCCTAGAAGAACTAATATTTCATAGTTAATTATTTTTATGGATACTGAATAGTATGCAAAGGATTTGTAAAATACAAACATTTTGCATCTAAGCTGTGTAAAGAATATTTAACAAAAATCCCTGCAAGACCATAAATTTCAGGGCAGCCTCCTAACAGGTAATAAATTGTATGTCCTCAACTCCAGTGCAACATATGATTAGAATTTCTTTCCTAATTTGTTTAAATTGAGTTTGTACCTAAGTTAAATGTTGTTTTAAAGTTTTAGTAGAGTAATGATCCAAACAGATATATTTCATATCCTGATGCTAGAAGTTGTGTTTATGGATTAATTTCAGAAGCAGTTAAATCTAAAGTGATCACTCTTAGGAGTGCTTTTGCAATATATCCTTCAGTAGGGACACATGTTATTTAAAAAGAAACAAGTTAATTGCTAGAAAGAATGATTTAGCAAAGGACTGTGAGGATTCAGAAGTATAGCCCACTTGCAAGTTGCTCATTTACTGTGATGATGTACTAAAATACCATTTCATATATATCATTAGCTCCTCTAAATCCTTTGACCACTGCAGTGTTTCAGCTGGTGGGTGACACTTGCATGCACTATCTTTCATACCTTCATGTTTTACCACTAATGAGCAATTCCTGAGTTTTCTACATTAAACACTCTTTCTGTTGGCATTTCAACTGTTCTGTTTTTCTTTTGTAAGCTATCAATAAATGTGAGTGTTTGAAAGCTACTATAAATGGCTGGACATAAGGATCTCAACTATATAAAATAAATTCTTATGAAGATTAAGACTCAAAGAAGGAATGGAAAAATTCAGCCATTAGAAACTCTCTAAATAGGACCTTGTATATTGTACAGACTAACTTGTTTGTACAGAAGTACTGTAGGTTTTTGCAGACTAAACACTCCTTATACTGGGACTAGTAGTGTCTAATGTCATTATAATTGAGCTGGAAAATGAAATGAGTAATGCATCAATAAGGATTTGCAGATGGTACTAAAATTGGAGTTAGATAATAGCAGAAAATTCAAATAGACCTGGAGAACATTTCGAGTACTGGGCAATTAATAAAAATATAATATTAATATAGTAAGAGGCAAAGTTAAAATGTAGGCCCAAATTCAGGAAAGCATCCCTATTCAGGAAGGGCTCTTAAACACCTGCTGAACTTTAAATGCATGCTTAAAGTTCATTTTCTTAAGTGTTTCCATGGATCTGGATGTTAGGGAAGAACACTACTAAACAATAATAAAAAATGGAAGCATGCTGAACAAATGGCACAGCAATGCAGAAGACTATTTAGGATGGTAGTGTAATGCATTGGCTTAGTATGTGTGATCATGTGTCCCCTTAGTGACTGGCACCAGTGACTATAACACCCTACTGCTTATTGATAGCTAATGGAGTTATTCCTTGAGCTCAGGTGATAGGTTGTGCAGTTGCACCCTTCTGCTTCTAATGGTGAATGTTCTAGGTTTGCTCATCTCAGATGATCATAGTGTCATGCATCCACCATAGTTTCTTACAACATGAATATTAATGTTCAGTATGAAATATAATAAAAAGGCAAATACCATTGCACACTGTTATACAAAAGAATTGCATGTAAAAGCAAGAGCTAATAATCCCTCTCCATTCAGTGGAACCAACTGAGTTTTATTGGGTTTACATTGGTGTAAATGAGTACTGAATATGTCCCACTATTAATAAAACCTCATTTTGAAATGCTGAGGGGAATTTTGCTTTCATTTATAATGATGTAAATATAGAAAGGAGAGCAAACCCACAATTTTCCCATGGAAGAATCTAATGGCCTTCTAACAAAAGCTCACTTATTCATTTGAGGGGACTTGGCAGCTATGCTTTTGAGGTTTGTCTAAATAAGGTTAATGGGCTTGACACTAGTGTGACACTAATGTATTTATCCTTTCTATGTGATTAGTACTGTAAGATGTTATTGTAAAAGGTTATGCTGTGCATTTCTGAATGCTTTATTCTCTAGATGCAGAAGCTTTTAAAATGGTTTCTGCATCTGAAGATAACATTTTATTTTATGAGTAGAGAGAGACACGACATCAGTGCATTTCTTAATTTATACAGTTTTGACAATTTTACTCTGATGAATCCTCAGTAGATCACTTTGTTAAGCTCCATGTCAGTCTGGCATTTTTGCGATGATTGCCATGAGACACTTGTAAAGTCTTTGACAAGAAACAGTAGACAAGAAAAAATAGATCTTGACATAAAAAAACTAACAGGCTGGATTGAACTTTGAAGGGCTACTTTTAAGAGTTAACAGTAGGAGATATATAATGGTGTGAAAGCATTTGATTTGTAAAAGTAAATTGAGATTTGGGAGTAGCCTTTATCAGAAACTGTGATTTTGAGGTACTAAAAGAAAACTTGGTGGCTTTAATGCTACCTTCTCGCATGCCTATACATTGGCGTGGCTGTGATTGCTATTATAGAGAGGAGGGACGTGTTCATGGCCCCATCCTGGCTTTGCTCCTTTGGAAAGTTTTATGGTAATACTAAACTCTATTAATGCTTGTGCCCACTCCATCTCCTTGCAGGGCTAAGCACAATCTGGCATCCATCAATGGCTACCTCTCATATTTAAATTATTGTTTTTTGTTTACGCTGTACGACGTTGTTCTGCAAATTTTGCAAATAGTTTTTATACTATGGATTAGTAAGAAAAATAAGAGACTTGAACTGGTACACCAAATGTAAAACCTAGTGCTTTAAAGATTGGTTTACTAACTCTCCTTTTAATTTATGAAAGATGGTGCAAATTGACTACAGGAATTCAGACTTTTGTGCTATGAATACCCAGTGCAGCATTTTGTTGTCTTGGTGTATCTCAAGCCATTAAATTGTTGCAATTGAAATGAAAATCCAAATAGGAGTGTCTGTGTATTTAATAAATACTGTTGTATATGTGATATTCTATCCCTGATTTGTGCATGTGATTCCTATTGATCTTAGTGAAAGTTGTGTGTATATTGTGGGGCAAATTCAACTAGTATATTCTTCCCTGAGCATCAAGTGGTCTGATTTCACATATTACTGAAATCACACTTCTGATTTCTCAATTACCTTTTTTCAAATGATGTGATCTGGTTTTCTTACCTCCCATTCTCCAGTGGGTGGAGGTCTCCTGCCATCTTGAATTCTCCCCTTGCGGTATAGAGTTAAAGGGACAAACAAATTTAACATAATTAATTGCAGGTACCTATGATTCTTTTCATTTTCCTTGCGTGGAGCTGGACCCTGGAAAGCAGCAGAAGTTGGAAGCAGTTTTTTAGAACTGCTTTTTCTTTCTGGCCTATAAAAAGTTGCTTTTCAGTGAGTCGGTCCATATCCATTTTGAAAGTCTTGAATACTAAATAACCAGAGAATCCTTTACTTTCAGAATGTCTTCAGTAAAGCTTAGAAATAAAATATAAATGTGACAAATCCACTCACTTCAGTAAAGCCTCAGCGCTGTCAACCCCATCATCATTCTTAACAGGCAGCAGTACCTGTCAGATGTTTGAGCCAGTGAACACATTTGATTCAATGAAGGACTTGTTGTTTTCACTTGGCACCCCAACTGAGGATATTTCAAATAAATTGTCTATCTTCAAAAAGCTGATTGAAACACACAGTGCATGGTCTGAGCAACAAGGTATGGGTGTTTTATGGCCCAGTTGTGAAGCAAATGTCCCTTTTCAGAGAGCTCTTGAAGAGCATCATTGCACAGAGATCACTGACAAAATAAATTCATTAAAAAGGTTTGAGTTCTGGGATAAGACTCCTTACTTATGTTTTGTAGAGGAAAAGACAGTTGCAATATCTCTTTCCTATCACCTAGATACAGGGATGGGTTAAAGCAGAATCCATAGGTCCAGACTGAGAGGGACCCTGGACCTAAAAAGGTAGCCCATGACCAGACAGCATTGTGATTGCCATGTAGATGCAGAAGCAACTATTGACAGGAGAGAGGTACTGATCACAGAACTAAAAATCAGTGGTAGCTTGCGTAGAAGTGATTATGACTTGATCACGTCTATAATGTGAAAACAAATTAAGTCCAGATCAGTTTTTTAGATATATATATATATACTTGGTGCTTTAGAGGGGCCAGTTTCACAAAGCAGAAAACAATTGAGCCAGAAGAGCTGGAAGGAAGAATTTAATAGAAAAGTGTGAAAGATAATTGGGAATTGTTTAACAAAACTGTACTCATTTTCCAAAAAGTCACAATCCCACGATTGTGGAAGAAGGCTGTATTGGTTAGAAAACTGACCTGGTTTAGAGGGGAAGTGAAGGCAGCTATAAAATTAGATATATTCCCCTTTAC